CTCTGTGTCCTGATGATGTTTTGTGTCCTTGTTTCCCAAGAAGTGAAAGTAAGGTTCACTGTTAGGTCCAGATTGTCTCTACGGAAGCTCAAAACTGTGTTTTAGCACACGATTTTCATCACTTGTCAACATAAACGAGGTGTATCCTTTTTTAAACGTATTGCAATTCCTCCGAGAGGTAAATCGGAAGGTGCCATCGAATGTTGCTTTTATTCGTTTTATGCTATCATTCTCCTTTCGTTCTATATTGTTGCATAGAATATGCATTTCACATATACGCATCTTGCATGCGCATCTTGCATCAATTATGATTCATGCATAGAACATGTTTTTGCTCTTTTTTCATGCATAGAATATGTTTTTGTTTGTTGCATAGAACATGCTTTCAATTAACATGTTATGTTGGTTGTCTATCTGAAATGGAATATACTTTCTGCATCTATCGCATTCGTTCACTTTGTACATCTATCGCACTTGTTTATTTTGTGCATCTATCACATTTGTTTACCTTTTGTGCATCTATCGTACACCCCGCTGTTGTTTCATCTCAGAATGCGTAAAGCGCAAGCCCGATTGGTTCTCTTTTATCTCAGGACGCGTGATGCATGGCCTTGGGCATGTTTCATCTCGGGACCATGAAGCACGAGCCCGAGCGGTTCTCTTTTATCTCAAGACGCATGACGCATGAGGCATGGCCCTGGGCGTATTTTATCTCGAGACGTGCGAAGCGCGAGCTCAAGCGATTTTCTTGTATCTCAGGACGCATAATGCGTGACCCTGGGCGGGTTTTATCTCAGGACGCATGAAATGTGAACCCGAGCGGTTTTCTCGTATCTCAAGACGCATGACGCGTGATCTTGAGCGGTGTTGTATCTTGGGACATGTGAAACGTGAGCCTGAGTGGTTTTCTCTTATCTCGGGACATGCGAAGCGCGATCCTAAGCAGTTGAGCCATTTTCTTGTATCTCAGGACGCGTGACACGCGATCTTGAGCGGTGTTATATCTCGAGACGCGTGAAATATGAGCCCACGCGGTCTTTCTTGTTTCTCGAGACACGTGAAGCGCGAGTCTGAGGGGTCTTTCTTTTATCTCGAAACACGTGAAACACAAGCCTGGGCGATTTTCGTTCTGTAGTTTCTCGGGACATGTGAAACATGACCCCGAGTGGTTTTCTTAGTTTCTTAGGACACGTGAAACGTAACCCTGAGCGGTGTTTTCTTTTCGTGTTTCGTGTTTTGGCGTGGTTGAGAGTGTTTTTTAGATCTTTTTGCACGGAACCTGTGTTGGTTTTAAGATTGAAGCTGCTCATTCATATGTTATTGCCTTGTTATTGCTTATTGCATCATCTTGTATGATCAAAAGTTTTCAAAATAGCCAGCTTCGTGAAGCGTGTTAGTCCAACTTTCGAAGTTTCATTGTGCATATCATTTGCATCTTGCCCCAGAACTACACTGGTTTGATTCCTTGCAAAGGGATACATAGGCAACCTGCGAGCGTAACCATTTATTTCTATCTTGATTGTTTGTCCAAGTCTTACAGCCTCGTCAAAATGGGTCGTCTCCAGGCTTTGGCATTCACTCAGGTCATTTCATGACTCCGAGTTCTGTCAAAGAGGGGCAACTATAGACACCTCATTTTTGACGGCCCTTACGACTTGGACACCATCGCATGCACACCCGATGATGAGTTTATTTGCTCGTCAAGTGCTCGAAGTCCTCAGTGGAATGTCACAACTTTGAGCCCTTCAAACCCCACATTCTTGTTTCCTCATTCTTGGACCAAGCCTTGGTTCTTCAAGCCTGCAACCAATGGTGGCCTACTGGCCACCTTTTCAGGCTGTCGACCATCACTTTTCGGTTGCCAGCCACCAGTTTCTTTTGTAGGTATTTTGTGACACCTGTGCCAACTGTTTGTACAGATACAGGCATCTGCCTCCATGTGTAGGGTTGGATGTTCTTGTAGGGAATTCATGTTTTCTATATATAGGAGGCCTCCCTCTCATGTTTTAAGGATGAAAACATGTTAGAACAAAATTTTTCCTCTCTCTAGCAAATTCCTACACTTTTGCTTACAAATCTTCAACCTTTGCCTATACACTCTTAACCAAACCTCTTCATCTTTGAGTTGAGGTATTCTTAAGCCTTGTTGGAGCTCTAGAGGGTGTATTTGCTTGGTTTTGTTGCTTGGAGTTGGTTTTCCTCTTCAAAGGTATAAGGCTGTACCTATTTGCTTGCTTTGTCTACTTTTTTTCTTGCAATTTTCCAAGTGTTTTTGGGGTACAAAACTTCTGTATTTTTGGACTGAAACTTGGGTTCTAAGGCCATTAAAGGTTGAAGGGTGTTCTACCCTTCTTTGTACCTTGTTTTCAAAGCCTTTTCCCTTGTTTTTCCCACCCTTTAACTATCTTTTTATGAGCTTTTTAGCACTATTTTTCAGAGCTTTTTCAATGGTCAAAATCTTGTTTTGAAATCCAAATCTGGAGGGGTTAGCCATCCCTCCTTGTGTCTTGCTTAATAGTCTAGCTTGTGCCACGGGGGTTAGCCATCCCTCCTTGTGTCTTGCTTAATAGTCTAGCTTGTGCCACGTTTTAGCATATTAATCTAGCCTTTTTTAGCTCAATTCCAGCATGTTTTAGGACTTATTTTAGACTATTTTAGCACTATTTTTGGTAGATAGTCGCATTTGAACTTTGTTTTGCATGGTTGTAGTGTAATAGCCTTCATGAGTTTAGTGTTTTAGGCCTTAGACACTATCTCCTTTGAGTTGATTGCATTTATTTATGGCTTTCCACACTTGTGATCACACTTAATCATCTCTGCAACCTCCGTCCTTTCTTTGGCTTTTGTTTTTCTTTGAAAGTGGTTCAAACAACTTGTTTGTTTAAAGCATGAGATTGAGATGTCATGCTTAATGGTTTAATTCCTTTGGGGGTTCATTACCAACGATATGATGTCTCTTTTATGCCTAAGACAACTCTTGGTTTGAGCCCTCTTTCCATTAGAGGACTTAAACTCACCCTTTGGACTCAATTCGTTAAAGAATGGTTGGCAATTTAAAATGATATAATAAAATTGAGGCTTAAAAAGGTGCAAGATAATAAAAAGTGTTGTGTTCAATCGGACTTTAATTGAACACATGGAAACTTGGTCCATTTCATACTTACTAGTGATGAAATGATTCAAGTCTCCAAAGTCATCACTTCCCTTGATCTTTCATGATAGGGAGCTGGTTTTTGTGTCTTGTTTCGTTGCATTTATTGAAATTGCACACTTTAGTTCATGAGCCATCATGCAATGAAATTTCTTGAGTTAATGGATTATGAACCAAGCTTACTACTCCTTTGATTTGTTCATGAAAATGAGGGGTGAGTTGTGAAAACAAACCCTTGAAAATACCTTGTGCATGCTCTGTTTGTTCTCTGTTGCAGCAAGGTGAACTGGGCAGCAGTGGCTGACAAACCACTTTCCATAGCCGGCAGGCCACCTTTGATGGCCGGCCGGCTATCACTAGTGGCCGGCAGGCCTCATCACTCGCCGGTCGGCCACTGATGTAAAATTCAGCAGCGTGTTTATAAGGCAAAGCAGAGTTATTCTGGAAGTAAGCAACAATGTTAGTGTGCTATTGTGCAACAGGGGATCTCCACAAGCAAGACAGTGGCTTTTCGAATGGAAACCGAGCATGTGCATAGGCATTCCTCGCGTACCGAGCATGTTTAAGTTTAAATTATTGTAATTAATTAGCTGTAGCTATTTAATTTTGGAAAGTATTGTAATTAATTAGTTAGTTAACTAGTTATTCGTTTTTGTTTTGTAATTAGTTAGTTAACTAGAATAATTAATTAATTCATTTCTTGTAATAATTAGTTAAGTAGTTTAGCTAATTTAATATGTGTTGTAATAATTAATTAGCTTAGCTTTAATTAGTTAGCAAGTTAATTTATTCAGACTCTTTTTCGTGAGAGCCCAATGATGTAATAATGTGTATGTCTTCCAATCCCACGTCTTTCTCCCTTTTATTTACTAGATTGTGATGGTTAGTTTAGGGACGTCATGTTCAATTAGCATACTTCATGTTTGCATCCATTTGTCTTGCATGCACCGAGGCTCGGTTCATCATTCTAACTTGCATTGTTAGTTTAAATACTTTTTTGAATACGTGCTTAGACTGCATGCTATCAAATTGATTCATATGACATATTAGTAGTCGAGCCTAGTAATTGCATATCACATGTGTTGCATTAGGCATATTGCATAAAGTTAGGATCATACATCTTTCTAACTTTACCATCTCTTTTTGGCTTGGAGTACTAGGTAAGCCTTTACTCGGTTTAGCATATCGCATGCGTGTGATTGTTGCCATGTCTAGTATGCTTGGCATGAGGCTAATTGCTTAAGTGTTATAACTACTTAAATGCCTATGGATGAAGGCTAATTGCTTAAATTGAAATAATTTGAGTAATTTTCATATGCGATCACTTTTTCAAGTAGTACATATTTCGAAACAATTTCAAAACAAACATGACTCGCAATGTTCTAATTCGTGCAAAATTAGTTTATACTTGTGTATGTGTGCATCACATAGTAACGCTAGCCTAATAAACCAGAACAAGAGCATATAATGTAAATAAGATTCATATCATGATTAGTAGAGGCCGATCTTTGATCGGACAAGCGAGGGTGCTCAATTCATTCATGACCTTCCCCCGAGTCGAGAGAATCTTTGTAATGACGAGCATGTGACCTTTCGCATGAGTCAAGGGTTTCCTAAATTTTCTCAAAACAAAATATTTAGGTAGTGACTATGTATCTGGTAAAGCAGTCCATTTTTTGCATTTTTAATTCAAAATCAAATTTTCAAAAAGATTTTCCGAATTAGGACTCTTTGGTGTTTATCTATTTCGCATTGCACTTGTGGAATCAGATTCAGAACCACGAGAGTCCGATACTGTAGGGCTTATTTTGACTTCCTAAAGGGGGCGCGAAAAAGTCCAGCTACATAGTTGCATGACGCAAATGAAACTGGAAATGGTGGATCCTTGGACAATGCCAAATGCAAATTGTTGAATTGGGATGGAACAAAGGTGGTGGTTGCGGAAAGCACAATTGCATCAACAGATTCTAAAGCATTGGTACATCATGCGCCTCTTGGCCTTGGGTATTGAAAAGTATGGGTTAACCATGTCATAGTCAATGAACCATTGTTCCGCCCTAATCGTGAGATGTTTGTGCTTGAGGATGCTATTGGAAGCACTGTTGCTTGACCAACCCATTTCATTAGCTTTGACTTTGAGTAGAAGTAACATCTATAGATAGTTTTTGAGGACTTTGATAAATAGATTTCTATAATTTTTGAATAGTTTTGGGTAATGTTTACAAACTTATTTATGTACAGTTTTGGATGGTTTATAACTCTTTGGATAATTTAGAACTTAAGGATAGTCCTTTTGGATGTTTTTGGACTTGCAGGTAGGTTTTGGATGTTTGGAATGTAAATATTGACAATTTTTGAATGTTTATAATTTATAGATATAGTTTATTTTTTATGGCTGAAATAATATTTTGGTGGTTGATTAATATTTTGTGAAGCTTGTTTGTATTATTAGATTGTACAAAACAGGTTAAATAGAACCTATTGAATTTTTTAAAAAAACTGCACATTCTACGACAAGCAAATTAGGTCATTATATGAAATATTACACAACATTCCATGTACGCCGTGGTATGTTCTACTTATCTACGGTAGGCTGAGCAAGTCGTTGTATTGTATATTTTACAACGCACAATCAAAGTTGTTATTTGTCCCACCAAATAACGGCATGCAAAAGTGGTCGTAGAAAAAGTAACAACGATGCACAAAATCGGCTATTAAATATTTTTTAACGGCGTACTATAGCATGTCATTGAAAGTGAATGGATTTCCATGACTGGTCATAATATGACGTGCCGCTGCACGTCGTAGAAGGGTTTTTACGACGTGCATTGCACGCCGTAAAAACCCTTTTTTATTGTAGTGATTAAACCTTTAATATCATTGCCTGGAAACTTGTTTAAGGCTATATATGGATTTTTTTAATTTGCAAACTAAATGGTTTTTACCTTTATTTGCAAATCTTTTTGGCTGCTCCATATAAATTTCTTCATCCAAATTCCCATTTAGAAAAGCAGCTTTCACATCCATTTGATGCAACTTTAAGTCATAATGAGCTACCAATGCTAGAATGATTCAAGGCGAGTCCTTAGATACTGGAGAGAAGGTCTCTTTATAGTCTATGCCTTCTTTTTGAGTAAAACCCTTTGCAACAAGCCTGGCTTTAAATCGTTCGATATTGCCTTTTGCGTCGCGCTTTGTCATGAAGACGCATTTACATTCGACCTTTTTACAATTATTAGGCAATTCGACGAGATCTCAAACTCCATTCTCCTCCATGGATTTTAACTCTTCATTTATGGCATTGACCCATTTGGTAGAATCATCACTATTCATGGCTTGTGAAAATAAGACTGGATCTTTGTTAATCCCAATATCAAAATCAGATTCCTGCAGATACACCATGCAATCATCTGGAATGGAATGCTTTCTTTCCCTCTAAGATCTTCTTAGAACTACCGGTTGTGATGGTTCTATAGTATTTTCAGTGGTGGTATCTTCATGAAGTGGTGAAGGATTTTCATTATGTTGTTCGTTTCCCTCAGCCTATGGAAAAGTCTGAGGAACAATAATTTTTCGATAAGGGTCAAATATTGGCACATCCACCCTACTTTCCTCGAATCAATAATTTCACCATTCTCTCGGAATCTAGCATTACCAGTCTCCATTGTCCTCGTATTGTGATTAGGACAATAAAATTTGTATCTTTTAGACATGTCTGAATAACCAATGAAATATCCATATATTGTTCTTCAGTCCAACTTTTTCTCTTGTGGGTTGAAGATTCTTGTTCTGTTGGACAACCCCAAATATGTAAGTGTCTCAAAATAGGTTCCCTACCAGTCCACAACTCAAAAGGAGTTGTTGGGACCACCTTACTAGGAACCCTATTTAAAATATACATTGCAATCTTTAAAGCTTCACCCCACAGTGAAATGAGTATAATTAAGTGACTTAACATACTCTTAACTATATCTTTAAGTGTACGATTACGCATTTCGACAACTCCATTTTGCTATGGCGTACCAGGCATTGTATATTGAGCACGAATGCCTTTCTTTTCTACGAATTTGGCAAATGGGCCAAGATTTTGGCCTGACTCATCATATTTACCATAATACTCACCACCCCTGTCTGATCTCACTATTTTAACATTTCTATCTAATTGTCTCTTAACTTCAGTTATGTACACCTCAAGGATGTCAATAGCCTGAGACTTTTCATGAATTAGATACACAAATCCATAATGTGAAAAATCATCTATAAATGTGATGAAATATTATTCACCACTAAGACATAGGATGTTGAGTGACCCGCAAATATCTGTATGAATTATCTCAAGAAGCTCATTACTTCTTGTGGCACCTTTCTTGATGTGCTTGGTTTGCTTTTCTTTAATGCAACCCACACATATATCAAAATCAATGAAGTCTAGGTTTTCCAAAATCTCATTCTTTACCAATTTTTCAATTCTATTTCTAGAGATATGGCCTAACCAGCTATGCCACAAGATTGAGGATTTTTCATTGATTAGACCACGTTTTAAACCAATATTCGAAAGCAGAGTTACTAATGATTGTGCAAGCTCATGATTTAAAGCAATTTTATATAAACCATCACATCAATTATCAGAACCAATCATTATTGAATTAAACATTAAATTGAGTTTTCTACAACTAAATAAAACTGAACATCCAACACGATCTAATTTGAATAACAAACCTAAATTCATAGAAATTGAAGGAACATAAAAGTGTCTTCTAGATCCATCTGATGACCTGTCTCTAAGATCAACCGATAGGTTTCTATAGCTACCACTTCAGCTTTGAGACGGTTCGCCATATAGACAAATCTTTCACTTTCCTTCGATTTCCTATTTGAGAGGTATCCTTACATGGAATTTGTAATGTGGGTCGTGGCCTAAGAGTCAATCCACCAAGTATTAGAAAGTACTTCAGCAAGATTTGATTTATAACAAACAAAAGAAAGTTTTTTACATTTTTTTTCGAACCGATCCTTTCACTTGCGGCAGTCTTTCTTCACATGTCCTTTCTTGCCAGAAAAGTAGCACTTGACAGTGAACCCATTCTAAGCCTGATTTTCTTCTCCAGGTCCATTATTTTTCTTGGGTGGATTTTTCTTTGATTTTACAAATTTACCCTTCTTTTTCTTTATAGCTCCATGAGTTACAGCCCATGCAGTTTGATGTCCTTCCTCCTTCAACCTCACTTCCTCCTAAACACACATATTAGTTAGCTTATTCAAACTCCACTTATCTTTATTTATAGTGAATTTTGAATGCACCGAACTATGATGGAAGTGAGTTAAGAATAAACTACACGAGGAAAGTTTCATCAACTTGCGTCCTTAAAGTTTTAAAATTTGCAACTTTGTCAGCCATATTAAGGATATGACCCTGAACTCCTCGATTGCCATCATATTTCATTGTTGTCAATTTAGCCATAATAGTGCTAGCAAGTGACTTGTCAACAAATCTAAATCAATCTTCTACATCCTTTAAGTATTCCAATGCATTAATAGTTTGAAGTAAAAAGGTCTTGACGTTATTTTCAATGGTAACCTTCATGAACATCAAACTGGGTCTATTGGACCTCTTCCAAGATTCAGAAAGGGCAACTTGTTCTGCAGTACTATCTTCAGTAATGTCTGCAGGTTTATCTTCAACTAATGCCACATTGAGGTCCAACACACCAAGTGTAAACTGAACATGTTCATACCATTCCGAAAAATTCGAGACAGTAAGTAGAGGGATACTTGATGCAAGAGAGTGCAATGAGGTGGAAACTGTCACCGAAATAAGATAGAACAATATACATATTAAAGCTTTGAGAATTATTATGATGAACTATTGATATCACATAAGTCTTTCCTTTGGGCAAGACTTAGGTATATCTATTGTCCACTCGTCAAGAATCAATTATGTAGGTTTAAAATAATTTATGCAACTTTTTAGTTAGTCATGTTACCTTTGGGTATTCAATTCTAATTTGTTAAATTACATAAGTTACATTTTCCTACCCAGTTCATAATTATTTGAAAGTGACTCTCCTTTGGGCTAGTCTCAATCTCCTAATTATAACTGCAATTGAGAATATTATTGACCTTAATGTTACCCTTTTAACAATTCTTTTATGTAATTCTATATTCATAAGTTTTGCTAATCTGTTAGTAAATCCTATGAATACGGAACTAACCAACAATATTCTCTATTCATTAATTTGAGTTATTTAATTATAATTAATCCAATCACTATTTTATGATATCAAGAATTTTTTTTATGTGATTGCAATTACCAATATAATAATAACTTTAGACAAACATGAATATATATATATATATGATACAGTATTATATGTGGCTACACATGCACTGATATATATATATATATATCAAATTATGTAATATGACAATCATGAATATCTCATATAATGGTCAACAAGAATTATACATAATATGAATTAACCACCTCAATATTTAATATTCAATGCCATAAAATTATATCATGATATCAAATTTAAATCATGAAAATATTAATATTTATTAACAACAATAATAGACAATAAGTGTACATAATCAGACAAAGTAAAGCATAATTCCCTAATGTAATACAATCAAATAAATATATTTATTTAATAGACCGAACAATTCAACGAAATTTTAAAATTGCTTTTAATCTATACACTTTGTCATAACGAGCAAGCAATATAAATATTACACTCAATTCAGTGTCATATTATGATGATTATAAAAATTATTATTGCTAAAATTAATAATAAACCGAAGCATGCATGTTACACATTTATCAAATCTAGGCCTCGTTCATGTAAAGATCAAATAATTGAGAATAATTATCTATATATTATACAAGAAAAATGAGATTTCTAATTCACAAGCCTTGTGAAATCTCTAATATCCCAATCTTAATTTTCTAATTTTTTGATTTAAAAAAAAAAAAAAACTCAACATTTATTGACTTCTC